CATGAGTTTTCGGGTTTCACTGAACCCCTATCTCCACCCACTTCTAAGATCTTGTGATTGATCAATAAAACAAATGTCATAGCACTCAAAATGATCATACTGCCGCTCCTATGATGACCTTCTGCAGTTTTTACACATATATACTTTATAAACATCTATAAACTACACTTATTTGATTGTACTGAATATGTATTAGTGCATTCCCATCAAACCGTACACTTCCTTTGGCTGAACGTCTAAACAGAAGCTGAAGTGGAAGTCATGTGATGGTTCTGATGGTTGGGGTCTGAGCGAGCACCGCGGCGCCTGGCCCACATCCAGACGAGGGCCCCAGGCTGACCACAGTCCCGGGGCTGTCTGGGGTTAGGCTAGTGTTCTATGGCTGATCCAGGACCCAAATGATGGGGTACCAGACCTAAAATTGAGGGTCCCACTCTCTCATATCCTCCTCTGGTAAGATGATTGAAGTGTGTGTATTATGAGCGAGGTCGAGGTACTGAGTGCTTCTCGAGTTCTGGTGCAGACAACCATTTACCTCCGTCAGAAAAAAACATGTTTTCTCCAATTATAGAGTTATGCTTCTTGTTTTTATTATTTATCACAGATACAAAACAGGTATAGCAAATTATAACAAGAAATTCAGTCTGCTTGTCTATTGTAGATATTACATTACAAAATACCCAAGGGAAGGGCATTGTATCTATGTACCGCAAATTTGCTTTCTGTAGGTTGATTAATTGCATATTATATGCTGTGTATTATTGGGTTGGGAACATAAGCATCTGCTTCATCCAACCCCTGTTAATCAAACCAACTAACCAAAATGTACAGTTGCCATTTATATTCGAATCGGTCAACAATTATGAGTTTCAGTTTCTCATTTATTCTATAATCAGTATAGTTGTCACCTCTCAATTGCTATCGGAAAAGTGCTAGATACTTTTACTGCTAATAAGACCATCCATCCATCCATTTTCTGCCCCTTAATCCATTTCTGGGTCGGGGGGTGGCAGTCAGAGCTGCACCCAGTTCACAGAGCACCAGCCCCACACTGATCCTGCAGGTGGTGAGTCCACAGGAGCTGAGATCTTTCAGTGGGGGCTTCAGGCAAAGTGGAGTCTTGCTGAACGACACAACCACAGCAGTCATCAGTGGGAGTCACTAATAATGCTAATAAGACTACCGCTACTTTATTTTTGTTTTCATTTTCTTGAAGAAAGTGTGTTTATTAGATATCTATACAAGTGATCGGGCCTTTTGTAGGTCACGACGACCCGATTGTGTATCTTCTACGATTGTGTATCTGTGTTACGTTCTGTCGATGTCTCTAGATATGACATGTATGTCTTCCGATGTGTGACATAACATTGAAAACTGCGAATAAACTTCCAGGTGGCTCTGGTGCATAAAGATCCCGTCTCTGTGAGGTTAATCCACAAAAGATATAACATTCTTTTGTATTAACCAGTAACAACCTGAGCGGCTGGAGCAGAAAATGCATTTTGACTCAATGATATTCTCCAAAGAAAGTGATAAACATTTTCAAATTTGTAAAATGTGTTTTCTAATTGTGTAAAACCCCTTCTAGAGACGGACATTGGAATTTAGCTTTGGCTATAAATGCCGTAGTGTTTTACATGTTGATTGTGTACTTTCCCGTATTAAACAAATCAGTAAATCCATACATTTAGTGCACAGTCTTGTCTTTAGGGGGGTCTCCACCACCTGTTTTCTCCTTTCTTTCTACCCTTATAAATCTAATTAGCGACAACATGTGATCATTGCTCTTTTCACTCCGCCATTCTTCCTTTCAAACCTTAAAATATCTCAAAGCTTAAAGCCCACCCACCAAAGCTGTGACCTGCTGAACAGAAGGCTTGAGTGGCTAACCCTGCGCTCCTTCTCAAAGTTGACCTGACTGAAATGGCCCTGGACACAAAGGCGAGATCCCGGGTCTTCTGACAGAGGAGCGCCTCGGAGTGAGAGCCTCTTAGTTCTGAAGGGTTTGAGGATGGCCTTCAAGTGTATGCACTGACCTTTGCTGATGAAAGCTCCGAAAATGGTATTTTAACAATATCATGATGCCCTTTCAATATGAAAGGCAGCACAGGCGACGCTCTCGGCCAATAGGAACTTAAAAGCAGAGGGGGTGAGGGAGACCAGAGGCGGATCACGGAGGAAGGGTATTAGAGTAGATAGGATGCATGGAAATGAGAGGTTTTTATGTCCTAATGTCGACCTATAATTTAATAATAGCCAAACCACAGAGATGCTACTGAAATGGAGTTCAATGACAGAGAATAATCCACGAATATCATTTAGCCATACTGTGCCATAGTGTGCCATACTGTGCCATACTGTGCTAAACTATGACTGTAGGTCTATAACCCCGAACTTAATCATGGATTAACTGCATGGTACCTTACACGTATTCAAATACATTTATAACTTTAAAATCAGATTATCTTTGATTTGATCATAATCTTTTTAATGGACTGTGGCTAAATAGGATGTTAATCCCATGTGTGATTTTACTTTTTATTCTTTTTGATATTTTGAGTGTGTTTTTAATGCCCTGTGGGATTTTAATTGTATTTCATTTCTATGTAGATTTTAATGTTTATGATTTATGCTTGATGTGATATGGGTTGTGAGGCGCTTTGTGTTGCCTTGTGTAGGAAAGGCGCTCTACAAATAAAAGTTGATTAATAGTGACATTGTGACAGTCGGACTTGTCATTAGACTTTTTTTGTATTTTTCTGTGTTTTATGGTGTCTTTATTCTGTCTTTTATATGTACCTTGAGTCAGGAGAAAAAATGTATTATCATTTTGTTGTATGAGTAGATATTAAATCTTGGGACCTTACAGTCTAAACATACCAGATAAAGTCAAAACAATATCATGAGTAGTGAGTAGTCTTTATTTATGTAGTGGCCAAGGTCACACAAAGAGGTTTACAATTTCGTCACACGGTGATGACAGAAGCGAGACGCCCGACACCGGGGCATCAAAGCCCCCTGACCATTACCATTGATTCTCTCTCATTACATTCCTTCCCTTTTTTTAGTGAATGTGTTGCCATTTCCCCGGCGTGTTAAAAAGCACACGTGTTTCTGCTGCTCCTTCTGCCCTGATTATTCTGTCACATCAAACCAGCTGGATTTCACCAAAGAAAATGGCAACCCAAAGTGTTGACTGATGTAACGCCAAATCTGCTTTCTGATTGGATGTGATCAAATATGATGTGTACATACTTTAAAAAATAAAAATAAAAAAATATATATATATATATATGTAAATGTGTGACAGTCTATTTTCAATAAAGAACTTTTATATATTTCACTTTTTAAACGTTTTGATCACCATACTACGATCGAGCCAAAAACATCCTGTATCTGCTAAGACTGCCCTGTCTTTGAAGCGCCTTCTCCACATTGGACCCTCTGCAGCACCTTCTTTGCTTTGAATATAAATGTATATCTTATGTCTTTCTAATGTATAGCTAACTGCCCCACCATCCGTTTTTCCAACTTCCAGCGGAACATTACCCTGAAAGATTGTAGAAAATAAAATACCCCAAGTATCACACTTTCTACCCCACATCACAGAGGTACAAGTGGAAGCAGAGGTGCTAAAGGTGCATTACATGGTGTCTGCATACTTCTCTGCCGCAGGAGTCCAGGGCAGTTTGTGTGGAGGGTAATTGGGTCTGAGCAAAGACCACAGAACAGTTCATCAAGTACCACAGGAGGTTCACTGTGTAAATAGCAGGGTTCACTTGTAACACCAATTTGCCAAATGTCTCATTAACACACACTTACATTCCACAGTTGGCTCTTTCACTAAAACGTGCTCAGGCTCTGGTGGCCAAATTAATGCTGCATGTTTTAATTTTCATCTGGGAGTAAATTAAAAGCTGATAATGGATGCAAATCTGGCAGAAATTCCTCGCAGGATCCACTGAGCCGCGCGCCACAGTGGGGTGTGTGCATCTTCGAGATCGCTCTGCTCCCAATTACCACAGAAATCAGACAAACGACAAGAAGTCATTCATTAATTTAAAAAATAGAACATTTTAATAAAGGCTACATCTCTTCATAATTACAATAATTAAAGTACCGAGGCATCTTTTCAACTGAGCTCTAAAGAACGCATAATTTACAGTTTACGAGTGGAGCCAAGGAAGGCATGAAAATATTATAAAACATACAACAAGATGAACCAGATGCTGAAGGCATAAAAATATCTTTTCAACATAAAGGACCCTTGGAATAATCAAGGGGAATAACAAGACCCTGAAAACTGGGTAACACACGGCAATAATCCATGTAGGCACAGTACTGTACTCGAATCACTGCCACAACAGTGCACACTCACGCACACACACGGGACACTTAGAGCTTCTGTTGGGAAATAAGTAAACATTTTGGGGACTCCTCTTTTTGTGCAACGCCCGCGACGACTTAAACGAAAGGCACTACAATGTGACCAATGAAGGCGATCTCTGAGTCCCAGAGCTGATTCAATCTTAAGAGCATTTTTTTTTTCTCTTTCCATTTCCGTTACAATCGGGGCCCGGCAGGACAGGTGGAGACTGCAGTAGTACATATCGTTCGACTCCTTCAATACGTTAAAAAAAAACGGTAATTTTTTTTGTAAATGTTCGTTACATTTAGTCTCAAATAAGAGCTTTTTCCAGAGAAGCTTACGAAATGAGAAACATAACTCTCCGAGCAGCTAGTCCACAGAAGGTCAAAGGGGTAGATTCCAATAAATAGAAATTAAACCATTACACATTAAAACGGTCACCATACGATGTGCATATACACAGAAGTGGGCACAGGTGGAGTCCTTGTAGAGTAGTCATTCTCCTCGTTCCCTCTCTTCTGATGATTTAGTCCTGTTGAAAAGGTTCATGATGTCTGGTAATCTCAGTTCAACAACACGCGTTCAGTTATTTGGGGGGGATACATCCACAGTGTTACTATCGTCCATGGCTTCAATCCATCCGCTCCACTTTTCCTAAGATCTTTCCTTGGTACGTGGGCAGTGGAGAGCAGTCGTCCGATACCTCTTCGAAAACCGCGCCGCAGTCGAACTCGTCACTGGCTTTTTTGAAGTAGTACCTGAAATAGATGAAAACAGGTCAGGTTTTTCCCCCCCACACAAAACACATTGCGTGGCTGTCATTGGATTGTTTCACTTTTGGGTCGAAATCTGTTTTGTATTCTATCGCAGTTGTTTGGATGGTTGGACGGATAAAATGTTCTTGATATTCTATGTAAATAATATCAAGTCTCTGTATAAGCCTCTCCATGGTCTCGCACCAAAGTACATCTGTGACATGTTAGTGCCATATGAACCAACTCGGACTCGAACCAACACAAGGCTTTGAGTTGCCTTGCGTATGACTTGTGCTTTACAAATAAACTTGCCTTGCCTAAATGCGTAGCCCTGTGGTTCTCCCTGTTGGCCTTGGGAACTGGTTGTAAGTAACTACAGCAGACCTGCTCTCAGCTTCTCGGCAGCCATGACTTCATTGGGCCATTAATGCCCCCCTCCCCATCCTCATTTTCAAGGAAGAGAAAACAGCAGGGGTGATCTGGTTTAGAGGTTCCAGAATCCACTCATTAACTATGTAATGGAAAATGTTTGCTCCATGTGTGGGGCGGCTGGTATGCATGTGTGTTTGTGTGTTGGAAATACTTTGTTTTTAACAAGACGGAAGGCTGACAAACTCAAACATGCAATTCTTATAAAACTGGAGTCTTTAAAATGATGCAAAGGTGCTGGTGTGCTCCAATCACAATGCGGGTGAGTCTAATAAAAAGCAGCTGCATGGAGGATTAGAAGAGCTTGAGCTCAGAGAGGAACAGGGAGTATTTAAGGAGAAGGGCAGCGCAGGAACAGCCTGGTGTTGAGGAGAAAGATGCTTCTACTAAAAGACTTCCCAAAGTCATGCTCTTTTCTACTGAGAGACAGACAGAGTGAGCCTGAATTTCCACTTGAACATGTTTTATGTGGCGAGATCTGTTTTTTCCCCTTCGCTGCTTCTCTCTCCCTTCGCTCTGACATCTGGCACCAATATCGTCTGGCAGGGCCCAGCAGTACTGTTCTTTGTTGAACCGCTGCCATGTTGAAATGACCCAACTCCACACATTCTGTCTGCTATTAAAGAGCGGCAGCGAGCATGCTCCAAAAATGTGGATGGTATAACACAGGAGCGGAGACAGCAGTGAAGAGCCAAAGATGTTGGAAGTGATACAAGCAACCGACAAGACCTGTTTGTAACATGTGCTACAACTATAGCAGTGCACATCTGGACAGGAAGAGTCTGTGAAATCATACTTTAAACCTGTAATTACTAGCATAATATTCACAATAACACATATTTAACCTTCAGAGGCTAAACTGAAGGTTTGATCTTTGGGCTTTTATGTCCACTGCTGAAGACAATCAGTCAGATCTCACACTGGAGCTTGGTGGCCTCCATCAAGGTCTGGGCTGTGACGAACGAGCGGATCTGGCATTTAACAGTCTGCCTTTCAGAAATATCCATAAAATTATTACAACATGTGTAAACACAGTGCGTGTGCGCTGCTGGCCCTGTGTGTGTGTGTGTTGTGCACAGGGAGCGCCTGATAGCATCAGTCAAGAATTTGCACGCTGGCCATTTGTGTGACTCTTTGTTGGTCAAAATGAAAGGGGCTGGGGCTTCAAAGCCATGTGTATTAAGTGTGCCTTAGCATGGAAATCAATACCAGATGGGACCCAAATCGCTGCAGTTCAAACCGCCCCCCACCCCCTCACTCTTCTCTTGTCCTTCCCTTTTCATGCTGAGCTTTAGCGCACACAGACACACACTCACACACACACTCATACTCATACTCACACACACACGCGCACACACTCACACAAGAGCGCTCAGTGTGGACTGCACACAGAGTGGATTGCAGACACAAACACTCGTAAGTGCTCCACGTAGGCCTCATAAAACCAGGAACTCCGCTTAAACGCTTGAGGTCACAATTCCCTTGGAGTGTCAGCTTTAGGATAATTCCTCATGCCATTTCAAGATCAAGCCTTCTGAGACAATACCTATAGTTTTTATTGAATCGATGTTAAACTTTTGTACTTGCTGACATAATCCACCATGCTCACCTGTAGTTGCCCTTTTTGCGGAGCTGCTCCTTAAAGTGTCCTAGGGTCAGACTGTGACTCTTCATGCTACGTCGATACGGGATTTCCTCCCCACAGAAAAAATATGTCACTACGGTCTCCCCACTACTGCACACCGCATGGCTCCCTGCCGCCTTCTTATGCTCCTTCATTCTGCAACAACATTAGACACTCGTTAGCGGCCGATAGATCAGTGCACATTCTTTGATGAAAATAAAGGGTGAATGAACTACAAGTGCACAGACACAGAATTAGAAATACAGTGGAAAATGAGAGCAATCACAAGGGCCATAGTGTTATCAATTCCCCTTCAGCGATATCCAAGGCTTTGTAGGCCCACTTCAGAGCGCTCTCTCTCGGCTGCCAGCTCAGTGAAGGACAGCCAATAAAAAAATGATACATATAGTTGAATATATGAAAGCCATGTCTCGAGCAGGTGGTGGTGACTACACACTCCACAAAAGCATCTGAGGGGTGTATTGTGTTCTTTGCACAACAATAGTGTGTGGGTATTTGTAAAAAAGCTGGAGGCAGGTGACATGGAAAAAGAGGTAAAAGGCAGAAGTACACTGGCAGTTGGAGGCTATGGCTGAGAGGAGGAAGAGGAGCAGAGAGGAGGAGGAGACAGGGAGGCATCGTACTCTTCAGATTGGACGGTTGAGAGCAGGCAACCGGGCGAGTTGGCTTGAGGTTGCGGGTTTGATGTCCCGCTCTGGACAGGCACAAGATGGCTCTTCTCACGTGGGACACTGGATACGGAATGCCTACAGCAAAAACACAACTGTTAGTGTCTGTGCAGCAAGACATTGAGAGAATGTAGGAAAACGTAGATTGAGTTGTTACCTCGGCTTGGTGGGCTTTGTGGAGACCTCCTCCAGTCTCCGGCAAGCCTCCTCCAACTGAGCCAGGGTGTTGGGAGGAGGCATCGGGGGCATGGCGGGGTCTTGAATAAAAGGTTGTGCGGGTTGGTGGCTTCGAAGATGACCGCAGCTACCACCCCCGCCCCAAATGTGAGTCTGGGTGGACGAGCTCCCGAATGACTTTTTGGTGGTTTGGTTGCTGCGAATTGTACAGCGAATGTCAGACAAGAACCAAATCTTTGCATGAAATCTTCAGGCAAACCGTGTCCTCCTTACCTGGACTTGTGCCTGCTTTGGTGTTTGCTCTCCAGAATCCACTGCAGCACATTTTGAGTTGGGTCTGTTGTGTCTCTGGGCAGCTGTAGACCACCGCAGTCTTCGGAACACTTGTCTGTAGAGCCGTCCTCTGTCCCCGAGCGACACAGGCACCTGGACAAGGAACTGGACCTCCTGAGAGCAAAGATGAGAGACGGAGGATGTTAAAGCACAGACGATGTAGATCGGCTTGAACTGTATGAAACTCGTCTTTGCGCCCGGACTCTTAAACAGATTTTGTGTCCCGGGGTAAAGTTCTACAGCTAAATAAAGCGGTTGGCAGGACAAGGGCGACTCGTAATCTAACATTGTAATGAAAACTTTGTGAATCTGATGAAAATTTCAATGTAAAACTGAGTATGTTCTGTATGCAGCACAAACAAACACGTATCTTCTACTTTGACTGTGTCGCAGCAAACAAACAAAAAATCTCCTTTTTGATAACGGGGCGTGTGCAATACTGTAAGTGTTTCCAACTGCTCAAGCACTTTGTTGGGGAATAAACAATGAACTTCTTAATCTGCACCGCACTAGCACTTTAGTCATCATATGTACTTTGTTGCTTATTGTGTAATACCGTTTTTATCTGTGGTCTTTTAAAAGGGTATTATTTTGTATCCTTGCTGCGATGGGATAGTGTATATATATATATATATGGTATATCCTTGTGTTGTGATTGTCCTGATGTTGAGAGTGTCTTGTGTGTTTGTGTCCAAAAGCACTTTGACCCCAAGACAAATTTCCCTAATAGAACAAAAATGAATGTTGATGTTTATCACAACCAATCTAAAACGAAAGAGCACACATCCAATTACAAGTCTAATATTAGCTTGTCTATTTCTTATTCTAAGTGCCCAGATGCATGTGCTGGCGGCACGGTGGCTGAGTTGATAGCACTCTCGCCTCTCAGCAAGAAGGTCCTGGGTTTGAATCCCGGTCGGACCAGGGCCTTTCTGAGTGGAGTTTGCATGTTCTCCCTGTGTCTGCGTAGGTTTCCTCCGGGTACTCCGGTTTCCCCTACCACTAAAAATATGTCCAATAGTTCTGGCATGCGCCTCCTGTACTGGCAACTCTGCTCCCATCTCTGTGTGGAGTGAGAGACAAGTGCCCATAATTAACAATTGTAAACCGCTTTGAGACTCAGATCTGCAGTGAAAAGGCGGTATATAAATAAAGATTACTACTTTCCCGGTGCCTAGTGTCATATATGGTTTCATGTAGCAGACCTCAGACTCTGAAAAGGTCGATCTGCAATGCCTTGAATACATGCAGTTAAAACAATAGAAAGACTCAAGGGTCCAAATTATCCTGGGGGATTTTAATAAGGGAAACTTGAGCCAGGAATTACCCAAATACAGACAGTTTATCAAATGCCCGACCAGAGAGGAGAACACTCTGGATCACTGTTACACCACCGTGCGCGGAGCTTTTCGCGCTGTTCCCAAGCCAGCCCTCGGCTTCTCAGATCACTCCATGATACATCTGGTTCCTGCTTACAGACAGAGACTAAAGCTCTCGAAACCTGCAGTGAGGAGCTCCAAAGTGTGGTCTGATGAAGCTGTGGAAGAGCTGCGCGCATGCATGGAATCTACAGACTGGGACCTTTTCAGAGCTGCCACAGACAGCTTGGATGAATATACGGACACTGTGACGTCATACATCCACTTCTGTGAGGATAGCATCATTCCAACAAGGACCAGGGTCATCTATAACAACGACAAACCCTGGTTCACTGCTAAACTCCGGCAGCTCAGGAAAGCAAAGGAGTCTGCTTTCAGGGAGGGGGACCGCAGCGGCTACAAAGCAGCTAAATATCAGTTCAGGAAAGAACTGAAAGCAGCCAAGTCCCGGCACAGAGAACGACTACAGGAGCAGTTTGGTAACAACGATACTGCTTCTGTCTGGAGGGGCCTACGGGAGATCCCAACTACAAACCCAAAGCCCCCCCCTGTGCTGATGACCACAAGCTAGCTGACGATCTGAACTTATTTTTCAGTCGCTTTGATGCTGCCCCTGACACCTCTCCCTCCCCCACCCCCCACTACTCTAACGACCCACCCATCAGCCCTGCCCCCAGCCTAACAATAGCCGCTAAAGAGATTAAACAACTCTTCCTGAGGCTGCACCCCCGCAAAGCTCCTGGCCCGGACCACGTGTCTCCGGCCACTCTGAGACACTGCGCCAGTGAGCTTACTCCTGTGTTCACGGACATTTTCAACTCCTCTCTGCAGTCCTGCCATGTCCCGGCCTGCTTCAAATCCTCCATCATTGTCCCCGTCCCGAAGAAGCCCAGGATCACAGGACTCAATGACTACAGACCTGTAGCACTTACGTCTGTCGTCATGAAGTCATTTGAACGCCTGGTTCTCTCCCATCTCAAGTCCCTCACCTCCCCCCTCCTGGACCCCCTGCAGTTCGCCTACAGAGCCAACAGATCTGTAGACGACGCCATTAACCTGGCCCTCCACCACATCCTACAGCACCTGGACTCCCCGGGGACCTACGCCAGGGTCCTGTTCGTGGACTTCAGCTCTGCCTTCAACACAATCCTGCCATCCCTGCTCCAGGACAAGCTCTCCCAGCTCAACGTGCCCGATTCCACCTGCAGGTGGATCACTGACTTCCTGACGGACAGGAAGCAGCGAGTGCGTCTGGGGAAGAATGTCTCGGACTCTCGGATTATAAATACAGGAGCCCCACAGGGCTGTGTTCTTTCTCCCCTGCTCTTCTCCCTGTACACCAACCACTGCACCTCCAGCCACGACTCCGTGAAGCTGATCAAGTTCGCGGACGACACCACCCTCATTGGACTCATCTCCAACAACGATGAGTCCGCCTACAGGAGGGAGGTGGACCGGCTGGTGTCCTGGTGCAGTGGTAACAACCTGGAGCTGAACGCCCAGAAGACAGTGGAGATGATTGTGGACTTCAGGAAGAGCACTGTCCCCCCGCCCCCACCCTCCGTGATGGACTCCCCCATCACCTCTGTGGAGTCCTTCCGTTTCCTGGGCACCACCATCACCCAGGACCTCAAGTGGGAGCCGACCATCAGCTCCCTCATCAAGAAGGCCCAGCAGAGGATGTACTTCCTGCGGCAGCTCAGGAAAGCCAAGCTGCCTGCACAGATGTTGGTGCAGTTCTACACGGCCATCATCGAGTCCATCCTCACCTCCTCCATCACCGTGTGGTTCGCTGGAGCCACAGTCAGGGACAAACAGAGACTACAGCGCATTGTGCGCTCTGCAGAGGAAGTGATCGGCCGCAGCCTTCCATCGCTGCAGGACCTGTACGTCGCCCGAGCTCGAGGCCGGGCTGGTCGTATCACAGCCGACCCCTCTCACCCTGCACATGGACTATTCCAACCACTCCCCTCAGGCAGGAGGCTGCGGTCCATCAGGACTAAGAACCTCCCGCCACAAGAACAGTTTCTTCCCCTCTGCTGTTGGACTCTTGAACACTTCTTAACCTGTCCCCCCGCCCTTTATAAAGTCACTTTACTGCCCATCATACGTCACTTTACTTCACTGTACTGCTGTCACCTTACATTGTGTGCACCATGTGCACTTGTATATTGTAAATAGTAACTGTAACTCTATTTTAAATTTAAATTTATTCTTTAGAAGTGTTTTTTATTCTTATTTTTATTATCTCTTTTTGACTGTTGCACTGAGCCAAAGCAATTTCCAAGTCTGTGACCTCCCGTTACTTACGTTGGCAATAAAAATGATTCTGATTCTGATTCTGATTCTGAAATGAACTAACCCCATGGTGTTGTCGATGGTAACAGCGCCACACAGCTCTCGTCCCAAGCTGCGGCTGCGCTGGTACGGCGGCCCCGGCTGGAACTCTGCGCCGGAGCACAGGCGGTGCACTCGGAGGGCCGCCTCGCGCTCGATCTGCTCCTTGCTCTTGGGACTGGCGTGATGGTGGATGTAGTGGTGGTGGATGTGCTTGGTGCTCTGCCGGCTGATCAGAGTTCTGTTGGGGCCCAGGGAGACCGTGAGGGACCCCTGCTCCAGTGTGGACCCCGGGGAATGCAGCAGGCCCTTCAGTGCCAGCGCGAGGGGCCGCTGCTCGGGGGAGGTGGAGCGGGGGGAGTGGCGGGCGACGGCGGGCGATTGGCAGCCGGGACTTTTCAGGACGCGGGATAAGTGCTCGTCGAGGATGGCCTGCGGGTCTTCGTCGGAGGAGCCGGACAAGATGGACAGTTGGTGATGAGAGAGCTGCGGTGAGCTCCCTAACATCTCTGCATCTTCTCGCTCATCCTCCTTTAAAAAAAAATAATACTATGAATCAAACTGAAGCTCGAAGATGGATTCAGCCTCCATCGAGTTCTACAAACCTCCTGGATCTGCTGCAGCCTCTCCTCGCCTCTCTCCTGCTCACGCTTCAAACTTTCCAGTCGGGCAATCAGCTGCTCTGCGAATTTAGCTGGCTCCAACGGGACGGCTTCTTTTGGAGGATGTCGTGTGCGCTATAGGACAAACAAACACATATTTATTTTGGAGCCAGCAACAAAATGGCTCAAAACACTCTAAAAGTAGTAAAAATCCCTCAAGCTCTTCATGGTGAGAAAGGGAGACAAGTCATGTGTGAAAAAAGGGAAGAAAAGCACAAAAGGTGTCTCCTGTTTGTATTCCGATGTCGTTTTTTTCTGCAAACAGCAATAAATTGATTCTGATTCTTCTGATTCTGAAGTAAGTGACAGGTGAAAAGTAAGTAGACCAAAGATGAACCACAACAAAAATATGATTCAGCTAATTCAATTGATGAATGTTTCAGAGTTCTTTTTGGTAGATTTTCATTTCCATTAACAAACGATCTCCTGGGACTTCACAAATTGGAAAATACTTTTTTTTTTGGATGTTCGGGAGGCGTGGCGACGGGTGGTGATCTGGGCGCACACGCACGTTCAGCCGGGGCCCTGCTGGTCGCCGCTGTCATCATCAGTGGACCTCTTTAAAGTCAGCGCACTTCAAAGACTTCCTTGTCAAATATCAAACACTCTGTGGGGGAGAGCGGTGGCAGAGGGACGGACAGAGCGATTGATAGACAGAAGCACGGGCTTTACATGTCGGAATAAAAGAGTGATATCGACAGGGGGTGGAAGGCAGCTCCGCCGAGGACAGCGCAGAGGATTAGAAATATGGGAGTTCAGATCCAGAGATGTGGATTCACGGGAGGCACAAATGAAAAGGAAAGGGGGTTGTCAGAGAAAGATAAAAGTGCCCAAAAAGGATCAGAAAGGTCGAGCTAATTTACCCCCTGTCTCGTCACAGAGCTCCTTATACAGTGACACCAACATTTGTGTGCACTTATCATACAGTATTAGCATCTGTGTCCTGCTCGCTCTCTAAATGTGCTTCTTATTCCTTTGTAGTGGGATGAAGAGGACAAAAGGAAAAGCCTGCTTTGATGAAGGCTTGTGCACCATGCAACTGGCAACCACTGCCAAAAATCAGGCAGAAACGCTGCAAAATCCTGGTATACGAATGAGCAGGAACTGAACAATGCGTCTTGTAGGGTTGTCGGTACTGTCTAAATCACTAAAACAAGACATTTCTTAAAACCATCTCTGGACTGGACAAAACAAGACAAATCGGCAAATACTGTTGAGTAAACCAAAGATTATGACTTCTAGATTTTTGGTGGCTATGTCTGTCATTACCACAAGTCCACAGTGTCATCCAGCTAACTTCAACAACTGGTGACCCTTGTACTAAAAAGTTGGGCCACGGCTGATTCAGACAGAGTATGCGAATGTTGAGTTGACAAACTGAGAGCACACATGACATATTGTACATTATGGGGGGTGGTGGCGGCTGAGGAAAAAGGGCCGGCTCAGTTGGAAGTTGTCACTTTCTTGTGTGTCTGCATCACTCATTTTTTGATCAAAGCGTGTGTGTGTATATGTGCATGAGTGCCTGAGAGTCTTTGTGGGTTTTTTTTTTTTTTCTTCAACGAAAACAGTGCTGATTCCAGAACCCGTGGGAGAAAGGCTGCAGAGATCTTCCTCATCTTTCATATTCTCCATATTTACAGCATCGGTGGGGAAGAAAAACCCTGGTGTGTCGGGAGCGCTGCGGCGATAAACAGCTTAGAGACCTCCAGCCTCCCGCAGACTTCAGACTTCAAGGGACCCTAATGGGGGCGGAGGTGACACCAAAGGTAGAGTAGGGCCCTGTTTGAATGTGTGTGTACCAGCCGGATTTGGAGGCTGGCGCTTTAGATCTCAGCTAGTGTTGTTGAATTGAGAATGCAGAACAGACTCTGCGCAGGCCTATTCATAGAACCCAGAGAGACCCGGAGCAGAAAGAGGTATGGAAATGACACTGTGGGGCCCAGGTTGAAAGAGAACAGCGGCGTGGGCTTGTGTACCTACAGGAAAGGCAGGCAGAGACACTTGGCTGTTCATCCGCATGTTTCGCTGCATCTCTCGCTGTAGCTGCTTTTTGGAGGCCAGTTTGTATGGAGGGATGCCATCTCTGAAAAAGGGAGACACACAAAAGTAAGTTACGGTGAGACATTGAATTCTGGGAGAGAAAAGAAATTCAGCATCGGGGGGAAAGACCAGAAGTTAAACCGCAAGATGAATTTATAGCCAGTTTGAATCCTCACATCAGGTAGACTTTCTGTGGGAATTTATAGCTGAGGAACCCAACTTTGATTATTCTTGAACATTATTTTTTTTCCTTTAATACTATGTTCTCTTTTTCATACTTGTAAGAAAGAGCACTAGGGGTGAGAGCTGATTGGCTGAGCGAGAGTGATCCCGTTTTCACTTTGCAACATAAACTTCAGGTATGATTTTTCAGACAGAAGCCAAACATACAAAGGTACCCCATGTCAATTTCAAGGCTTAAATGTGAGCTGTTTGTCCAGATCGAAGGGGCCTTGTCTCGCAAACTGCACCACTTGACACCATAAAGCACGTCTCTCTCCCCCTATGTGACCTAACCTAACGGAGGAGCACTTTTCCACTTTTGCTTTGAAATGCCACAGTCATGCGCATAAGCAATCCCCCCCCCTCCCAATTTTCATTTGGCAAGCAGTGCCGCAGCCAGCCTCTGATCTCCGCACATCAAAAGCCTGGTTTGTAAGATAAGGTAATGTTTGAAGTCTGCGCAGCTGCATTCCCTAGCGTCCAAGCAAATCCATAAATAAGATATAAGCGACCCCCCCCCTCCCCTCTCTCCCGCAACACTTTCTCTTCCCACCCAAACGCTTCATCCTAGTTACTTCTATTCTTTCTGTTTTATCTAAACAAGTCTGTACTCTGTGTTTATAGCTGTATTTTACTGACCTGCAGAAAGATATCATGATCAAGGCAGGAAACGGCTAGCCTTTGTTACCGTGCAGAGCAAAGTGCAATGAGATAGTATACTGTTGAGTTCCCAACCTCTTTGAAGCTTCAGAAATAGGCTATGCTAAAAGACTCCCTGCTGTAAATGCTTTATAGCTGTCATATTTAGCTGTAACTATGACCGTCGTATACTCCCTTGTCGGTGCCATAAAGTCAGAGCTAAGTGGATGACATCAGGTTTATTATCTCTTTTGGGATAAGGCCGGGAATAAAGTTCCATAACATTTGCCTCTTAAAAAGTTGCTGACCTGACGCCCGACCTTGAGCGGTGCACGGTGACTTCACCGAGCCTTGTCACTTACTCATGTGATTACACTGAGCGGAGAAACCAGGTCTTTAGCACGTAGCATATACAGATAAGCACAGCTAATCGTGCTACTGTGGGCAGAAAAAAAGACTGCAGCAACAGCCTGGTTCATACGGGGCAAGCACAGGATTTCAATGACATGGCATTATTTAGGTCCTCATAACGTACGTGCTCAGACGTAAAGCAGATTCTGAGGGTGAGTGATATGATAGTGTGAGGTTCGCAGACTTTTCACTTATTATTATTATTATTGTTACTTACTTAGGTCCTCATAACGTACATAAGTTATGAGGAGGTAGTGGGTGAGTGATACAATAGGGAGATGTTTGCACCCTTTTCACTTTCAAGCAACTTTTCATACAGCTAAAAATCAAAATGACAGGTCTTTAAAAAAATGGATTTGCCAATAGCAGATTCAAAAAAGCAAACTATATAAAAATTATTGGTCAAAAAAGACAAATAAGACATTTATGAAACATGATGTTAAGACTATTTACTTAAGTGAAATGTTTACGTTTCAGGTAGAGCATGGATAATTGAATAAAGGAGAGGAACTTGGCAACGGAATATCACTATAGCAGTTACTTTCATGTCTTCATTAAATATTGCGTGCCACAATTGAGGGCAGGTGTTTGTGAAGAAGGTGGTTTGACTGGAGAATTTCCCAATACTAATTTGTTTCAAAAGGCAGGAAACAGCTCTGGAAATGACATCATAGAGTGAGGATTCATTTTAACAACAACTTTGCTATGATAGACACCATTATCAGAGTGATGCATTAGTGTAAGAAGTTCCTGTTGTTGGTGTTTCTGATGACGGAAACACAATACATATCTTTTAAAGTGACTAAGCATCTTGCATCATTGGGAACTGGGCACTTCATGACAAACTGTGTCCGGTCACAGATACTTACACACTGCCATCGGTCAGAGACATGGAGTCATCGGTCAGCGCGTCACTGGACACCTCGCTGTCGTTGGTGCTGCACACAGGAGCGGACGAGCCCCCATGGCACCCCCCTCTGCTGTAGGATCTATGAAGGTTACAACAACACAGCGCTGGATTAGTGCACAGATCACAGGCTGCGTCCAACAGGTGGAGGACTGACGGCCGTGAGCATCATGTCGAGATTTGGAAAGAGTGTGTTTTTCAATCAGCGAGAGACAAACGGTGCTCTGGGCTCCGTGATCCAAGAAGGGACTGTGCTGCTGTGACCTTGACTCCCATGAATTATTCTAATCAGCTCTGGGCTCCAAGCAAACACTACTTCAGCTGTTTGCGTACAGTAGAGTGGGGGGTGGCTGATATATTGTGATTCTGCGATCTTGGCTACGTCAGGTATCGGGAATTCAGCCAAACGCAAAACAGTAGATGAGCCTTTTTAAACTGACAAACTGAAATAATGGTCTTTTACAGATAAGCAAGTTTTGTTAGTAGCTACGCAAATATAACCAACATTGGATTTATTTATACATACCAAAACATAAAAACAAGCATCATCAAAGAACTATAGGACCATTGAAAATTTAAGTAGAAGGACTTCAAGGCAGATTCCAAATACATTTATTGAACTTTCCCTATGCCAAATGTGCCTAATATCATTGCCCATTCTTTTTGTTTTTTTGTATTTGCTTTACGGCTGTACGCATGTCCATCATTTTAAACATTTTCTTACATGATCTCAGCAAAACTTACATTACAATCTCTGGCTCCTGTGTTCTAGAGTTTGATTACTAGTCACATTTTTTGTTGTTACAGTGCCATTTCCTTCGTGTCCATAATCAATTTAAGCAGTGTATATACTACACAATGATTGGATAACTGGCGCTGTTGACGTCATCTGGAAAAGTCAAGTTTTGAGCCTTGCACAGTGCAACGATGAAGCTTTTTGAATGCACTTCCAACACATTCTCCATTGGCCTCGTGCTGCTCCATGTATTGTGAACATGTTATAAGAAGTACAAACACTGGTCCTAGTGGAGAAACGCAGGAGGCTGAGGTAGCATGACTAAAGCTGGAGGCCCCATGCTTGCGGCTGACCTTCACAGAGTCAGGTATTCAACACAGCTGGCCTCGCATTCCTGCTCCTGCCTCGCGTTTATCCCTCCACCCCTCCCGCCTTTTCATTTCTCCCTCTTCCTCTCAGTGTGTTTCTTTTCCCCGCACTTTCGCTCCAGAAGCATGCCTCCTAGTCTCAGAGTTTTCAAAAGCAACACAAGATAAAAGTGGAGGAGGGGGGGGGAGCAGCGAAGGAGAGAATCAGAGGAGAATTGACGCAAACAAGAAAAAAGAGGGAAGGAGAGAGAGGGAGTTTGCTGGTGTGCTGCTGTTACTTCTGAGCTGTGGCTGCTGCCGCTGTTGAGGGTTTGTTTTCTTCTCCAAAACAAAGTTAAATGAGAAGAGATGAGGACAGCAGAGCGGAAGAGACCGAAATGAGTTCCACATGTTTTGAATGAGTTTGGTGACAATGGGAGGCACCAGGGGATCGATTTCAAAGCAGCTATTTTCCCCGTTTGGCCACCAAGCTGCACATGAAAGAGACACATGTTTTCATCCCGGCTGTCCACAGGTAACTGGTACCAGGCCAACCCTGATCGCAACATCATACATACAGCTCTACCTCTCAATGAGGTAGAAGTATTTACAATATGAACTTTATAAACATATTATTGTGGGTGCATTACAGTCTAATATATTCTAATAATCACAGACACAGAACATGAAGCAGTCTTACCTGTAGCTCCTCTCCATCACCTCCACTGCCCTCAGGGACATGGGGGCCCGCTGCACGCTGGTGGTTAGTCCAAGGAGGGCTTTGGTTTTGAAGTCGCAGCTCCACTCTTCCTCCTCCGGCAGTGAGGACATGTATCCACACACTGCCTTGAGGTCAGCCAAGCCGCTGGCACTGACGTGAGCCGGGTTCTCACCCCCAGTCCTCACATAGTCCAAGTAAATGTCCGAGGTGAGGAACAGCTGATAAGCGCTCTCCTCCATGTTGTTCTGAATCTCTGTCTGAGCCTGGTCGAACATGGCAGAGTCGATGTGCTGCTTCTTGATATAATCCTTTATAAAGGTTTTAGTAGCAGGCTTGAGCTGTTTGGCAACAATGCTGTCATTTTCTATGTAGCGCTTGTAAATAGCTTTGGCCACTCTCTGAGTTTTGGGATCTTTGAGGTCCATTTGCCTGAAGCCATTGCAGGCAAACCAAAAGTCTAGACTATCAACACACTGCTCCTGCTCCAGGAATGTCCTAAACAGGAGAGCACCATCCTGGTCTCCAAGGAGAGAGTGCAAAGATTTAGTCCATCGAGACAGCGGTGAGTCGGGGGAGGCACTCCCCTCTGGCTCCCCAAGACCATCCTCGTTCCTCCTCGAGGAGCTTGGAGAGCCCAACACAGCTGATTTAAGAGATTCCAAAGGTTTCATTATTGTGGGTTTGGTGGGGTAGCAGGGCGCATCGCCCTCCCCCCCAGGCACCGGGGGTCGAGGAGCATCTTCTCTGAAACTACTGGAGATATGGTCCATAAGAGCCCGGCTCATGGCTCTGAAGGCAGCAGCAGTGAGAGACTCCTCTGAGCTCCTACTGTAATCTGCTCACTCTCTTCTGTCAGCAGGGCGCTTCTCTGGGCTGCCCGTATCCTCTCTGAAACACAAAGTATTGATCTAATCAAAACCAGATCCGCCCCAACTTCAAAGATCCACAGACACAGCAAGAGTCTTTTTAGATCCTTTACTGACTTTCACAAAAAACACAGCAGCCTGAAGTCAAAGCAAAGAAATGTGTATGCGCAAACAGCATTGTACATGTGAACTGCACTGTCCGCACACATCAACATTATCTTCTTAAGATACATATAGTCACTCATCACGCGGACATTCCTATACAGTTCAAGGTTTCTATGGTGACTAATAAATCACTGATGTCAGATCCAACCTTGATCTGTCCTGAATGCAAAGCTTCATTTAACCTTTTCTTAGTAGCCAATAAATCACACCAACACCAGAGCCGCACGTTACTACCTGTAGGACTGGACTGGGACAAAGTCGGTGAAAACGTGACCAGCAGTTATAGCCTGAAGTCAGCAGTAGAAAGAGTTAAAAGAGAGTATAAATGTACTATCAAAAATCACCGTGGATCACAGCCTGCACCCTGACTCAGGAACGCCGCAGATAACCTACACTTAAACTTGAAAACCAAAAGACAGTTAAAACAGAATTGCGAAACAAATCAGTCCAGTAAAACATGTTACTTGTGCAAAAGTGCTATAACAGGTGGATAAACAGCAAGCCACAACAACTCACATACAGTCAAATCAACCTTCCTAAACTGAAATAAGTGTCAACAAGCGCGCTCGATGAGAAACAACTATGGCTTCATTAAAACACACGTTACCATTAAAACTATAGGATTATAACCTGCATCGCCCTGAAGCGTGAGATATGAGAAATACCGTGACTCGTTTTAGGAGTGAAAACAGCTAAAAACACAAGCATTTTGGACGGAATTGCACTTCAAAGACGAGGAGAGCACATCAAAGAGAACTCCAATGGGGACCAGTGTAGGAGCACACACACTCCTGCAACTTACCATCGAGCAAGAGTTCTGCACACACAAACTCCGGGCTTTATCCACAACAAAACACGCACATAATCCACAACGATAATTTCCAATGTGCGCTCCGATAAAGTCCAACAAAAAAGCAGCCGAAAAGGGGGGGGGGACCGCCGCTTTTCTCCCTGTTTTGCAGTGGTTTTCAGGCTGCCACCATCACGCTCCAGCGGGCGACTCCAACACTGAACTGAGAGCAGACTGGAGCGGCGCACTTCAAAGTGAGGAGCTGACTGCCAGGTCCCGGAAGATGCACAAAACACAATCGCGGGTGAATGCTCGAGAAAAAAATCCAAACAGTGCTCTGACATCCGCAATCACGCATGGATGTTATCAAAAAAGCGTTTCTAATCACTGTTGATTTTTTATTGTCCGTTTGTCGCGTTTTGCCAAGCGTCTCTCTCACATCACGAAGTTGCCGCTAGGTTGGAGGACCTTATCAAAGACTGGGAATCTTGAGCCAACTCCCCGAGGCTTAGGGGCGTCAGAAGTCACTGATCTGCCGCCCCAATAGCATTATCGCTACAATCCCACTGTTACTGCATAAACTTTAAAGCAAAGACGCAAGGATCCTCCTCTTTTTAGACCATACAAGCACCGACGTGTAAAAAAGCAGGCTCCAACAGTGCATTCAAATCAGTTTACAATCCTACACAAGCAAACTATAAGTCTTGACATACACGGAGATGCAAAACAACGTGATTTGTACCCATTAAGCTTAAAGAATCACATCTGTACGAGATTCCTTTCGCTTACAACATCAATAAGTAAAGAGTTCTGCATCAAAAGGCATGCGCTCATATTTCTTTCATCACTCCACAGCGACTACTAGTGGCAGAAACGACTCACTGACACTTTAAGATGAAGATGTTTGTCTCACTAAGGAGAAGTTCCCTCAAGGCTGTTATTGTATCCTTTTTGAACGACTAAAAATATACTGATGCCTGCAGCTTTAAATGCAGCTCTTTGCTTGGTGCATATGATATAAGCATAGACTCTTTGTAGATGAGAATAATTTAATCCCCAAACAATCACATTCAGAAAATTACTGTGTCATGTTATAAGGTAGAGGTGGGCAATACTGTAACAGTCTGATATGTAGCCTACATAAATAGAATAGAGAATCATCTATAATGAAAATGTGTTGAGTTTTATGTACCTATAACAAGCATGTATTATTAGTATGGGTTGCTACAATATTTTAGAGAGTCACAAAAAAATTGGATTGGCAAAATCACTACCCCCAAAATAAAGGTAACTTGAAAGGAATTAAATACTTATCCAAAAGCAATAGAATCTCAATGAGCCCCCACTAGAAATGTTACAGCCTGTCGTGCTTCTGGCAGAATATATTAAGTTTCTTCACTGGACAAAGAAGAACACAGCGATTTTGACAAAGGTCCAGGAAACGTTTTGCAAGACGCTGTTATTCATCAAAGTGAATCAAAGTGACTTTGGAGTTTTTCATGATTCAACGACTGTTTGTCTGTTTTAAACGCATCAAGGTTGTAGGTAATAGATTTCACTCCAGATAGAAGATGTATTTCACAGATCCTGTGCCAGAAACAAGACAACCTTTCCATAAAGCATAAATATCAAGGACATTATGAAACAAATTGGAAGGAACAAATGGAGAAGGAGGTTATGCATTAGTATTACACCTAACTCCTTTGAAAGGTATTTCTTGTAATAACTGTTATCAATTGCCATGTTGTAAGAAGTTCAAATGTGCAACAGCAACAAATAGTTGGTAACTTCACATTCAATCTGTGTAAAGAGTGTGATGTAAAAGTCTAAATTACCCATAATTATGTTTTGGTACAGTACTTGCTAACACTCTCCACAGAGAGATTTGAGATAAAGCAACAACTTTCTGGAGGAGAAAATCCCTTCAATGAAGATAAAAAGTTAAATGTATTCTATGGAAGATTGATGGTTTTTAATGTAGCCTATGTATAACGCCATATTGTGGAAGTTAATATCATATATTTGTATGCTATAAAGTTACAAACAGACCTTCAAAGAGTCTCAGCAGGAAATCTAAGAGGAATTTTACGAGTATCCTCATAATTGGACTAAGGCAATAATATGAAACCTTCTCCTTCCATCTTTGTTAATTTTAGCGGGCTGAGATGACCCTTGCAGTAAAAACACCAGGGTGGGAACATCACCATGGAGACACAGTATAGCCCCCTGCTGGTACCAGAGGCCTGTCCTGTGATCCCCCCAGCACCTCTCCGGGTCACTGGAGGTCCCATCCTGGCATGAGTCCTGCTGGTCGCCCCTTTAGGAGGAGACCAGAGTTGTCCATGTCTCCTAGAACCATAAACATGTCCTTTAAAAGCGCGCGGCACAGGGGGAGACGTGACGGTGAAAAGAGTCTGTGTCTTTAAGTATGCATTAAAACCAGGACAGGGACATTACAGTGCAACTACAAAGGAACTATAAATAAAAGGTGTAAAGCATAAATCTCCTGCTATTTTATTGATTTGGTTAATGATTACACCAGCTTTTTAACGTTACAATAGACAAGTCAAGCTAGTTTTAGAGGTGACTTATGGCAAATGTGATTAAAAATCCACAGTTGCACATTTATGAGAGCTGGTGAAGGTTTTACGACAGTGTTATATGTTGGGGGCAGTCTGGATAGTCGTAGCAGCCACTGGTCACCACTGTTTGGTCGTAAACACCACTGAGCTCTGTGCAATGATCAGTGCTGCGGCTATGGACCCCAACAGAGTATAACAAATGAATGTAGATGAAAACGGAACCCACTTTTGCCACTGTTCTATGATCTTAACGTCACCATTTCAAGCTTGTTTTAATTGCCTGGTGTTATGACATTGGTCTGAGTTCTCCATCATTCTGAAACCCTCTACTCTGGCAGTTTTCAAATCCAGGTTTAGCTGTGCATACTATGGGAAATAGATAGCTATACAAGAGCTCTGGCCTTGGGTAAGTTACAAGGACTCCAATTGTGTATCCGTGTTATGGCTCTAATATGTTCTGATTGCTTCTTGATGTGACACGAATGTCTTTCCATGTGTGACGTAACATTGACTGTAAAGCTTGTTCTAACTCTGTTCTGTCTGGGGGAAAAAAACTGAAAGAAACTTAGAATAAACTTCCCCCATCTGTGTGGTTAAATGTCCACAATACAACTGAAGGATTTTTGTTTTATCTTTAGTGCACTGTGGCTATTCATTTATTTTAATCCCATGTGTGATTTTAATGTCTTACGGTTTTTAACTACGTATGATTTTATGTTTTATGATTTTCTTGTGCTCTTGATGTTTGCGTTTAAATGTATTTACATAGTATTATTTAGATTTTAATGTTCATGAGTTATGCCTGTGATAGGGGTTGTGGTGCTTTGTGTTGCCTTGTGTAGGAAATGCGCTCTACAAATAAAAGTTGATTAAAAGTTGAACCTATGGATAAGTTTTCAATGATATCGTTTTGTGATGAGGTGCCTTAATCCACTCACAGTTTGAGAGTTTTTTTTTCAGTATGAGCTATTACTTCAAATGTTCCACAGAATGGTATTGATTTTGTCTCTGTCTGGCATTTATTCCTCAAGTCAGAAGTAAAACATTGTTCCGAACCACACATTTTGGCGAAGAACGATGGGAAACAAAACAAAGAGATCTTCTGTCAATTATCAACCAGGAGGAACTGATCTCGAACAGAGAAGACATTCAGATAAAGACATTTGGAGCCAATAAGGGGTTTTCTGTTTCAAGTCTGTTTAGAGTGAACACACCGAGACAGGAAGTGCTCCAAGTAGGTGACAACAGAGGGGACAATGGCCTCTGAGGGGAACAAGGAGCTGATGAGAAGGAGCTCCAAGGAGTTCGGGTCAAAGATCAACAGCTGAATAAAGAAGATGGAGGAAGATGTCATGGAATGGCGCATAATAGTCTGAGAGGTG